ACAGGCGCCAGACTTGGGACAGGCACATACAGAATGTGGCGGGGTTAAACTAGTTTTTTGGTGCCAAACCCTCTCACTAACCTGGGACAGTGGTGTAGCAGTACAACATAAGAACAAACTAAAAATCAGTTGAAAAGGGCTTAACTTATCAGATCGATACAAAGCAGAAAAACATCTAACAAAAACACAGACCTGACGAGGCAGCGTATTTATATATCTCCACAACAAAAAAGACACTAAGTAAAGATCTGAGAGTTCTTGTAGTTACTGACAGCTAGTTCAAAGCCAATAAAAACTAATAAAAAATCATGCATCTAAGACTAAAATTAACATATTATCCCAACGCTCTTATACAGGACAAAACAAGACGAGACAATATTATTACTGTTTATCACGGAACACTTTAGTGCTACAAGAGTCTTACTTTATATAATCAGAGACATATAATACAATGTCTCTGATATAATTATATATTTATATTATTCACAAGCTTACATAAAATCGTATCTGAATTGTCGGGCTTTAAAACTTTAAAAACAACGGTACAGCCAAACTTTCAAACCACTTATATGTATCTGTTTCTATCTGTATCTATCTATATATATATATATACACTAACAAAATGATAAATAATAATTTGTATACCTAATAATAATTTAGTAAAGGTTTTAAGTAATTTGTGGTAACGAAACACCTGACTTAATAATTTACCAATGATGCATATAGATCACGTTCAAGGAAATATATAGCGACACGATCATAGCGAACGAGTTCGGATATATAAACACCGCAAGACGGAGCTAAAGGAATATCACCGTCCAAAAACGATAAAAAAATAACAATTGAGAACGACAAATCGTCCCTTTTGTCGTAAATTTTTTGTAAAGAGTTTCCCGTGTGCCGTGTGAAACTGAAATATTTAAATCTAGGAAAGGGCAGTTGTACCAGTTCCGTTTATGTCTCGTGTTTGTTTTTGCTTTCATCAGATAAAGGAAGCAAAATTTATATGCATTGCATTTCACAATTTAATTAAAATATAGATCTCTGATTTCGTTATGCTCATATGACGAGTAAGCGAGTTACGATAGATCTGAATTTTAATCAAATTGCGCATTTCATTATTAACAAACATAATCGACTATAGTTTTCTTTCCCTATTGTTAATCTTCCTTTTTTCTGTCGATGACTGAAATGTATTGTGCATGTCATGTTTTTCCAAGACTACTTATGACACAGTTACGCTAAAGCCGTTATTATTCAAAAAATGGTCTAATTATTATTTAAAACTAGCTACCAGTAACTGGAAGTACTCTTAAATCAGTACTATAGGTCTCAAAGTTTGTCATTTGGTTAGTTTTTTCTGTGCTTCGTACCAATCTGAAATGTCAACCCCTTTGCAATGGTTGCTATAAAGTTTGTTATAATGTTGAATTGTATGACAACTATCCCGAGTTGGCGAAAGTTGACCGCCCACGAGTATGTTTATAACCGCTATACTCTTATTTTGGCTGTCTCATACCTGGAGCCTATAGTCCAGCTGGTTGTCGTTGGTTACTATGTAATAATTTGCCCTTTCGTATAATGTAATTAGCTTCATTTCTGATGGTGGTTTTCTCCTCTGAACTGAGGCGGCTAAACTGCACATGTTCCCAAGGGTCGGTGCATTAGAACTTAATTGTATCATGTTTATTCTAGCCTGGCATCCTGACCTAATATAATACTCCGTCTACTGTCAAGCAGTGAGCCAAGATCCAAGGCTATCTTCATTCTAATATTGTATCCAGAAAAGCTCTCTTCATTTTAATCTTGTTTGTGGTATATTTGCAGTTGACACCAAGGGACGGTGCTCTATTGAATATATTACTGACTGCTGTATGCAACAAAAGCAATCCTCTCCGTGACTAGGCTGATAAACAAAATGAAGGTTACTTAAATTTTAAAAGACCCCATCCCAATAATGATAATAATTATAACTGTCCAAGAATCAATGGAATCTTTAACATTCCCACGGGATAGTAACAACACTAGATTTCCTCTATAAATATCATGGACATTTAAATTTAAGTGAAATATGAAATAATAAGGACAGGATTCCTATATATACAGGATTCTAAGATGTTTATTTAGGTTAGTCATTGTCGTTGAGTTGCTGTCTCAATAATATGTTCGTGACATCTCTTTTATTACTTTCATATAATTATTTTTGATGGAAAACAAGGAATAATGCTTATTTTCGGCATTACAGTTTTAGCTGTAAAATGCACATTCTGGTATCATAAAATTGAACCGTGATTGCACATGTGTATGCACCACAATAAACTTGAACCGTGGTTGCACATGTATATGCACCACAAATTGGAATCGTGATTGCACATGTGTATGCACCATAAACTGGAACCGTGATTGCTCATGTGTATGCACCATGAACTGGAACCGTGATTGCCCATGTGTATGCACCATAAACTGGAACCGTGATTGCACATGTGTATGCACCATAAACTGGAACCATGATTGCACATGTGTATGCACCATAAACTTGAACCGTGATTGCCCATGTGTATGCACCAACCATAAACTTGAACCGTAATTGCCCATGTGTATGAACCATAAACTTGAACCGTGATTGCACATGTGTATGCACCATAAACTGGAATCGTGATTGCCTATGTGTATGCACCATAAACTGGAACCGTGATTGCTCATGTGTATGCATCATAAAGTTATAGTGCAAACGAAGTTAGTTTCAGCATCACGTGTCCATGCTGTTTGTATTCAATACACCCATTATAAGCGCTAGTACAAATTACACCAAGAAATTATGGTTAATGCAAACGGATATATAGATTTCCATAAATCAGGAGGTGGTATTTCAGAAATTTTGTCTTATATATTTGATGGTAAAGGATGAAAAATGTAGGATATCCAATTTCATTTAATGACATCTTGGTGTAAATATTTTTATACTAGAGTAAATAATTCAGTTGTTGAGAAGTGCATGTAATCTTACATGTTTGGGTCATATATAGACAGAATGACATCTTATTGTAAATATTTGTATATTTATAGAGTAAATAGTTCAATTGTTGAGAAGTGCATGTAATCTTGCATGTTTGGGTCATAGGCAGATGACAAATAGTAACTAAAGGCGTCTTAATTTTGTGTCCAATAATGGAAATCTTTGTTCAATACTATATGAAATCTATATTAATCCATACTATAAAAGTAAAGTCTGGACAATAGAAACTATAGAAAGTGTTTCCATGGATTTCTGAGATATCTGCAGAAGAATGTCCTCCTTGACTATAAAATACTTAATAAAATACCACATTAGATGTTTTTATCAATATTGGTGTTATAGAAAATATTGAATGCAGCAATTCAAAAGTCCACGGCCATTGCCAATATCCGCTTCAGCAATAAAAAGGTAATCTTGTTTAACGCCCGGCTGACCTTTCTGTAAACCTTGCTACTCGCCAAATAGAAGAAAACATGCAGAAGGCGGCTTCGTGAATATCCATTGGAACAGTTCAACACTTTACTATGTTTGTTTAAATTTTCTGGCTGGTTGTCTTGGCAGTTCAATGATATCCAAAATTATAATCGATTTGAAAAATAGGAAGCAACATATCCGACTACGATTTAAGGGCAGTGTCACCGTGTGTTACACGTTATAAACTTTGTTTTGCATATTTGCAATCGTGTTGCGAGAGTCATTTCGTATAAAAGAATGACTTTTGTCCGGGTACCTACCGTCCAACTGCATGCATGCCAAATAACTTGTGGAGCATGATCTGCTTACCATTCAGGAGCATTTGAGATCACCCACCATCCCTTTTTTTGTAGGTTTCGTATTGCTCCGTCTTTTATCTTCTATGTAGAGTTTTGTAGATTGTTGTTTGTATTTTGGTCTTTTGGTTGTTTTTTTTGCCATATAGTTTTGTTGGTTTCTTATCGACTTATGATTTTCGATTTTCCCGTGGTATCTTCTGCTCCTTTAACAAAAGCTACACTGGAAAGATTTATGAGAGATTATATACATATGTAATTTCAAAACGTATTAGTTGTATAGTTTCAGAATATAATACATTTTCTTTTCAATAAAATATAAAAGCAGCTCTTGGCAGTGTAAAAGTAAACATTTCACCACTAAATCAAAATAGAAATTTATTGTCATAAGACATACTTACAAATCATGACAAAAAGATTAGTATGAACAGAAACATACAATTCAATTATATCATATGTATCTGGATCAACTGTTATATCCGTATATCACTGGCGAAGGAGTACCTCACTTTTGGGCCAATATATGTATATATATAAAGTGCCTAGAAAATCAACCTTACAATGTTAGAGTAGATATGATTCTTTACTTCCTCCCCGACCGGGGCTGGAACTATATACATATATATATATTATAACGGGCACTAAGATGTCTTAATTTTTCAACATTTCTGCTACTTTGTATCTTCTTATTTAATTTGTTGATTTAACACTTGAAATAACCACCATTATTCTTAAGTTTAAAAGGTTATCATAATGTTTTGTTCTGTTTTCTTTTATCAATACGGTGTTCTCCATGACGTTCGCGTTAACAAAAAGTGAGCTTTCAAAGAGGTCCGCGTTAACATTATTGTCATTGCCTTGCAACAGTGCATTTATAAGCGACGCTTAAAATGAAAATTAACTATGTTTATTTTAAAGTTGATGATCTCTAATATAATTGCGGCAATCGGCGAAAAATGTGGTAAAAACAAATAAATAATAGGACTGCGGGAAAATCATATTTATTATGTTAAAATACAAAATCATACTTACAAAGTTTTATTAACGTTTTGATAAAAAAGAACTATAGAAATTCAAACGAACCCTTGTAAAATAAATAAGCTTGTAAATGTTTTATTGTTCACGTATGAATAAGTCAAAATAGGAAAAATATAATTCGCCAATACATGTTTCGTGGGCGGAGTTAAATCAAATACGCTGTTGATCTGAAGCAATCAATTCATTATTCTGAAGGAAATGCTATACTGCATTGCAACAGTTTAAAATCACAAATTTCGAAGTTTTGTGGATTAATCAACGTAAATTGCACTAATCAATTAACATATTGTGTAAAGATTAAAGGATTATTAAGTATACAGCGGAACCCGTTTGATCATAGTGGAAGTGTTTTTTCAGACAAACCGTAAACAACGCGTACAAAAATCAATCATATAAGTTAATGTTTTTATTACATGTGTAACAAAAGATTTACTTTTGCTTCAATATTTTGTGAAAAATAAAAACTATACTTATTTTCACCTGTCCGATAACGGGAAAGTTTTTACCTTCTACTTGCGCATGCGTTAATGCTATTTTTGCAGACAGAAAAGTGAAACACTGGCCAAAACATGGCGAAGCCATGTCGCTTCGTAGGATTTATTTTTCGATGCCTTGTATATTATTTGTGGTTTATATCATCCTATATTTCTTGTGAAAAAGGTAAGTGTATTGCTGAACATAAACAGCATTTTTGTAAACACGGCACACACTATAAACAGACGATAACAGTACACAAATCTCCAGTGACAGTGTGTCAATAATTCTTAACCTTATACAAACAAAAGTTAATATTTATCCACTATTTTCTTGTTTCTTCTTACTTACTTTCTTATTTTGTGTATGATGTTGGTTCGTTGTGATCTTCATTGATTTTTGAAACCTTTGTTTTGCCAGAGAAACAGTTGACATCATTGATTTTTTATTTCAGAAACTGGTAAAGAATGTGTATTTTACTCAGGGTTTTTCAATTCACCCATGCGAACCAAATCAGCAGTCTCTCATGATTTATTATGACATCAGATATATCAATTTATATTTCTCCATTTCATGTATTTTTCAATTCTTTGTTATGTATTCTTTTTGTTCTTTTATAAATATCATAAAGTAGTTTTCGGATAAATTGGAACTTTGGTGACAGAAAACAAAACTGATTTTGTGAATTAAAATTATTTCATTTTTTTTTATAGGAACAATTACGTTTTTTAATTTTTATTCTTGCAGTATTTTTTACTAAAAATTAAAATGATGAATTGTCAGAAAATATATTTCCCCTGGCAGCCAGTTTTGTATTGTAAAATAAATTAGAAATTTATCAGAACTAATCAGTGCTTTAGGGATAAATTCAAATAAAATTACCAATTATATCAGATTTATGGCTTAAAGGATGATTCACAATTGTGTTAAATTCTTCTTTTTCATCAAACAATAATCTGATGACATTTCATTGTTATCTGTTTTGGTTCTTTTGTTCCAGTATGTAATATAGGTAAATAAAAAACAAATTACAGAATAAACATGTTTAATCTAATTCAAATAAACAAAAAGATATGCAAATTGCAGATTGGTTAATGATTTTGATAATGATTAACAAAGACATTATTCTTGACCAATGAGTTAATATGCTTGGAGTAGACACTTAATAATGGAATTATTTTTTTGGAAAATATGAAAGGGTCTGGAATGAAAATAAGAAAAACTCTTAGTAATTTATTTGCAAAATAGGGTGATATGGGTGAAATTACTCATTTGTTTTTTACAATGATCGGATTTTGTTTTTAAACTGCATCTAAAATGAAGAAAAAAAAGGCAAACAAAATTGCATGTAAATTATTGCATTTGGATAAGGTCTGTGTATGTATCATTTACATTTGAACAAGACCATTTCAATTTAAAGATGTAATTACATCGTTTCGCACTGTGTGCAATCTCAGGAGTACAATACATTTTAATTGCTTCAATTATTTCTTCCAGTGGACCAAACAATTATGGTCGCGAACAAATTCGTTTTTTCAGCCACATTATTTCGCTTAGATTGATCAATACAATGATGTTAGGTCTGTACCAAATCACCAAGTCACAAATTAATCTGACCACTTTTGATATTTTGTTTAAAGAAGATGACTTTATTGTTGTTATTACTGTGATCATTGAAATGTTAAAGTAAACTAAATAATTTTCTAAAACAGGGTTTTAACTTTTTGAACCAATCTGTCATGTTAACTTACAAAAAAAATGAAGCTTGATTTCAATCTTCTCGTCTGCTTTTAAAGTAGAATGAAACTAAAACTGTTGTGACATCTAAATGTATTACATCATAGCTAGAAAATATGAAAGTTAATATGAGTAGAAAGAAAATCTTGCATGCAGAAGTCTGTATTCTTAAAACTTAAAAGTTGTGTCATACGTGTGTTACATGTTTAGAATTAATTTTTTTTAAATTTTAATTAAGTTTTAAGATGGCAAGTTTTTGGCTGGTAGTGCCTTAGTTGATTTTGATAATTTCCGTTTATCAAAATATATTTTCTGTCAGTTGAGTTTTCATTATTTTTCAACCAATAGTTCTATTCATATTTGATCATAATTTGACAGGTATTTTATTTCACATCTGTCAGTGAACCAAACAAAATATTTATAATACAAGTGAACATCTTTAGTGTGTATTTGCCAGAATTTGGGCACACTTTAGCTTATATATATGGTCTTTTAGTTTTCTATAACAGTCTGGTATCTTTCTTGCACTTTTGTTTGCTTAGAATTTAAAAAAAAATCACAATCTTGTAATTAAAAGTTAACCAGGCAGTAATTCTTGTTTATTGTATTGAAAAGTGTCAGAACAATATCATTTAGTAGGTACATGTATCCAAATTTAAGTCCTACATTTTTCTCAATTCTCATACTCCTTTCTCTAAATGATTTATATGCATATATAGACCTCATATGCTTTCTTTAATGACATTTTACTACATCATATGAGAAAGTGGATGGATGGTCAACAGTTGGCTCAACTTCTTTGTCATTCAGACTGGATGTTCGACCTTTGTCAAAAGAGGTCACGATGTTGTATTGGACCGCAAAGGCATTAACAGATAATTTTCTCTATGGGACTGTTCATTGTAAAAATTCAATTGTGGTCAGTTTTGTGATGAATTTCTTTTATTTTTCTATCAACACAACCATACTTCAGTAGGGTAAGGGTTCAGACTAATTATTTTCTCATATTTGTGGTCTGACTGTGTATCTCTTGTGTACAAATTTTAGAGACAAGGCCTGAAGAAGAGTAGGATTTCCCAGCATCAAGATATTCAGTCTCTTGAAAAAAATCCCACGAAAAATCTATCAATTTCCGTGAATTTGTTTTTAAACAAAAATCAAACTAGTTATACATTTAATAGCAAGTGAAAAAGTTTTACTGAACCAAATGATTTATGGTTAAAATCTTAGGTAAATCCTGAAAATAAATATCATTTGCTTTCATATTCATACCATTATGCATTCAATGATTTAAATTTTTTTGCCACTAAAAATGTTTTTTGGCTGGATGAAAATTGACCAGATTTTCATTTTGACGACAAAACATTCATTTGATATAAATATGCAGGATCAAATACACTAGCTTAATCTTAAATCTCCTTCTATCCAAATTCAATACACTTTTCAATCCTATCTTTTTATCTCCGTTCTTTCAGTAAAACTTTTCTTAAGAAGGCTTCATAGAAGATAAAGATTTATAAGACCCAAGGACAATTATATTTTAATCTTTTTTCATAGCTATATTTTACCTGTAGCGGTCAAGTAATCTGAGTGGCCATTAGGCTGGACATTTGGACATTGTTGTCAGTTTAATTGAATGGTAGGACATTGAAAGGCTGCTATTGAAATTCAAGCCAATAATTTAAATTTCAAAGCCTTTGCTATTGAACTGTTTCACTTGTTGACTTGGTAAACATGCATTAAGGGTGCGTGGCTATGTTCAATTTTTCTCTCAAATGGGCCAGTAAATTGCAGTCTTTTCATATATGGCAAAATGCAAGAAAAAGCTTAAATTATTAAACTTATTTATTATCATTTTATGTTTTCATAAATTTTTTATATAAGTACAATTATTCATCCGAATTTTAAGAATTGACTATGGCAGATCCTGTTTCTTTTTCAAAGGGGGGCTTAGAGGGGTCCACCAAAAAAAAAGGTGTTGCAGCTGAAAAAGAGAAAAGTGTACTAAATAACTAAAATATTAGGCCACAATAGGGGCCTGCGAAAACAACTTCATAAGTTAACCAACCTAACTTATTGTTCAAGGCATGGAAGATATTATTTAATTGGTTAGTTTAGCCAAGACAACTTATGAACAGATTATTCCATCACAAAAATGTGCTATAATGGTGCAATGTCCGGTAACTATTTAAAAAGAAACCTTTACGAATACTCCAATTTTACAATACATGAAGTAATCAAAATTCTATTTTCATTTACAATGTAACAATTTGAACAGAAGAATTTATAAATAAATGATAAATAGATAATTTTACAACACATATTTATCTTGTATGAGATTTCTTGACATTTATAAGTCTTGCATTTTAGTTTAAAAACTCATCATGGTAGCAAAACATGTAGCATCCTGCCATGAGTTATTAATACTTTTAACCATGGCAAAATACTTTGTAAGGAAGAAATTAATGGGCTAAAAACAGTAAGAATAAATAGATACACAATTTAACATCTTGAAATAAATTAGATATCAGGTACTAAAATAAAATGCTTTGAAGATTAGTCGACTAATTAATAAAACATGTATCTCACAAATAACTATCATAAAATTACCACTGTAATAGTCCTAGGATCATAACACTACAACTGTAATAGTCCCAGGTTACTAGTTAGCTATTGTAAAACTAGAACTGCATCTGTTTTGGTTTCTTGATTCCCTGAAATTTTTTAATCTAGTAATTGTTGATGCATGTACATTGTACATGTTCATATTTGTGTTATAATAATGAGGTATATGGGCCAGATCCAATTAAATTCAATATTTTATCAAATTGGTAGAGGTTATTAAGAACAGTTCCTGATTTTCTTTTTTTAATGAATTTAACTATTTTTTGTTTTTATTCATGTATATCATGTGTTATTTGAATACATATATGCTAAATTTTTAAAGAAAATTTTTGCCTGACCAAAATATAAATTTGCCTGGCAAATATGAAAATTGAATAAAATAATTGAAAACAATTGTGACATTTGGTAATACTTGTTTGACAAAAGCAAAATTTGCCAGACATTTCAGGTGGTCAAGTTATATTTCGGGACTTCTGCATCAGTTAGATTACAAGATTTTTTTAGATGGTTAGCTTATCTGGTAAACAATAAGACAACTAGTATAATCATACAGTCAAATAGATTTTGTATAAATCATATTTGCTTTTTCAGAAGTTTTTATACCACTCCACAATTGTCTTGACCATGATATATATAAAGTCTCTGACATTAATTGTTTAAAATTAAACTTTGTTCTAGATTTTCCTAGAAAATAAAGGGGGGGGGGGTCTAAATTCAAGTTTCAAGTGAAGTATTTTAGAGATTAGTGTTGTAAATTACAGTTGTCAACCATAGTTTGATAACAACCATAAAATTATACCAATGGACCATTATGTAGTGGTCAA